TGAGACTGTCCTCAATTCTTTTTATTCTTTTTTCTTTATTCTGCTCTATGGTAGTTATTTCCACTATTTTATCTTCCAGGTCCCTTATCCATTCTTCTGCCTCAGTTATTCTGCTATTGATTCCTTCTAGGGAATTTTAAATTTCATTTATTGTGTTGTTCATTATTGTTTGTTTGCTCTTTAGTTCTTCTTGTTTCTTGTATTTTCTGCATTCTATTTCCAAGATTTTGGATCATCTTTACTATCATTACTCTGAATTCTTTTTCAGGTAGACTGCCTGTTTCCTCTTCATTTGTTTGGTCTGGTGGGTTTTTACCTTGCTCCTTCATCTGCTGCATATACCTGTTTTCTCATTTTGTTTAACTTGCTGTGTTTGGGGTCTCCTTTTTGCAGGCTGCAGGTACATAGTTCCTGTTGTTTTTGGTGTCTATGCTCAGTGGGTGAGCTTGGTCCAGTGGCTTGTGTAGGCTTCCTGGTGGAGGGGACTGTTGCCTGTGTTCTGGTGAGTGGGGCTGGATCTTGTCTTTCTGGTGGGCAAGGCTGTGTACGGTGGTGTGTTTTGTGGTGTCTGTGAACTTAGTATGATTTTAGGCAGCCTCTCTGCTAATGGGTTGGGTTTTGTTCCTGTCTTGCTAGTTGTTTGGCATGGGGCGTCCAGCACTGGAGCTTGCTGGATGCCCTATGCCATGCCCAGCTCCGTTGGGTGGAACAGGGTCTTAGCATTGAGATGGAGATTTCTTGGAGAGTTCTCGCCAATTGATATTATGTGGGGCCAGGAGGTCTCTGGTGGTCCAGTGTCCTGAACTCAGCTCTCCCGCCTCAGAGCCTCAGGCCTGACACACCTCAGAAGAAAAGGGAGAAAAAAAGAAAGAAAGAAAAAATAATAAAAAAATATATTTTTTTAAAAAGTAATAAAATAATAATAATAAAAACAAGAGAGCAACCAAACCAATAAACAGATCCACCAATGATAACAAGTGCTAAACTCTATACTAAGATAAATATAAAAATCAGAAACAAATCAGTCACAGACAGCAAACCCCAAGTCTACAGTTGCTCCCAAAGTCCACCGCCTCAATTTTTTGTTGATTCGTTGTCTATTCAGGTATTCCACAGATGTAGGGAACCTCAAGTTGATTGTGGGGATTTAATCTTCTGCTGCTGAGGCTGCACGGAGAAATTTCCCTTTCTGTTTGCACAGCTCCTGGGGTTCAGCTTTGGTTTTGGCCCCGCGTGTAGGTCGCCCTCAGGCATCTGTTCCCTGCCCAGACAGGAGGGGGTTAAAGCAGCGGCTGATCAGGGGGCTCTGGCTGTCTCATGCTGGGGGGAGGGAGGGGTACAGTAGTTATAATTGGAATGCAGGGTGAGCCTGTAGCAGCAGAGGCCAGTGTGACATTGCAACAGCCAGAGGCGCACCATGTGTTCTCCCGGGGAAGTTGTCCCTGGATCATGGGACCCTGGCAGTGGTGGCTGCACAGGCTCCCGGGAGGGGAGGTGTGGATAGTGACGTGTGCTTGCACACAGGCTTTTTGATGGCTGCGGCAGCAGCCTTAGTGTCTCATGCCCGTCTCTGGGGTCTGTGCTGATAGCCGAGGCTCGCGCCCATCTCTGGAGCTCGTTTAGGCAGTGCTCTGAATCCCCTCTCCTCATGCACCCGAAACAATGGTCTCTTGCCTCTTAGGCAGTTCCAGACTTCTTCCCGGACTCCCTCCCGGCTAGCTGTGGTGCACTAGCCCCTTCAGGCTGTGTTCACGCAGCCAACCCCAGTCTTCTCCCTGGGATCTAACCTAAGCCTGAGCCTCAGCTCCCAGCCCTGACCCATCCCGGCAGGTGAGCAGACAAGCCTCTCGGGCTGGTGAGTGCTGGTTGGCACTGATCCTCTGTGCGGGAATCTCTCCACTCTGCCCTCTGCACCCCTCTTGTTGCGCTCTCCTCTGTGGCTCCAAAGCTTCCCCTCCCACCACCCTCCGTCTCCTCTAGTGAAGGGGCTTCCTAGTGTGTGGAAACGTTTCCTCCTTCACAGATCCCTTCCCGAGGGGCAGGTCCCATCCCTATTCTTTTGTCTCCATCTTTTCTTTTTTCTTTTGCCCTACCCAGGTGCATGGGGAGTTTCTTGCCTTTTGGGAAGTCTGAGGTCTTCTGCCAGCGTTCAGTAGGTGTTCTACAGGAGTTGTTCCACATGTAGATGTATTTTTGATGTATTTGTGGGGAGGAAGTTGATCTCCGTGTCTTACTCTGCCATCTTGAAGGTCTAACGCATTGGCTTTCATAGATGGACTGTGAACTGCGGGGGACTCCCTTGATCATCTTGTTGCTGGGTTGTGTATAATGAGGTTGTAAAAAATTGGTTGTGTGGGTGATGCTGAAGAAGGTAAAAATGTGCAGACAGATATTCGTTTTGAGAGGGAGGGTTGGGATCGCCAGCTCTCTGTATGTTCCCATTTTCTGAAAGAGAGTTTTTATGATCGTGGAAGAATGGGTGTGTATGTAAACAATTTTCTTGGTAAATTAACTAAGTTACCCAGGAAAGTTAAAAAGAAAAGTGAGAGTGTAGTAACCACGTTTATTAATATTTTTAAAATGTGGCTCCAGGGACATCCCGTGTATTTATAGCCTGTTGGAGTATAAAATTCAATAAAATTACAGTAAGTAGCATGGAGGGAGTTTCCATTTGTCTTGAACTGAAACCTTCGTTGTGTTCTTTTTGCCCTGTTCAGGCTACAGTTATCTGATCTGTGATCACATGAGGGCTGTGCACATCTACATCAGCGCCCTGGAGAATTCCTGTCCATTGATGGCCTTTCCTTGTACCAGCTACAAGGTCTTCCTTGCTGGACACTGTCTGGATTGTTTCAACCCTTTTCTGCTTTCCTGTCCAAGGATCGGTAAACGCTACCCCTTTGGCTTCCTTTGACAGTTTGGGGAAAGTTCAAGTCTTGTCACCTCTTTAAGTCCTGATCTCCTATGGTCAAGAGGTCTACCCGAGCAGGGTAAAGAAAACTTAAGCAATGAGTCGTTCAGCCTGTCCTCACCTGGAAGGTGGTGTTTAGCTCTCTGCGTCCCACCCCTCACCCTCTATACCGCTGCCCGATGCCATACTGGCTCTGCACACAACCCTCACACACACACACGCAGGCACTGGCATGTAAGTCCAGCCTCAGGATGCTCTCCAGAAGCACTGGTATAGTCCAGATTGTCTGCACCCACTCTCAGACCCGGTGCTCACCAGAGGTCTTCCTCGCTAGGCCAGCCATTCTCCAATTCCTGATGGGCTGTAAATCCCCAAGGCTGGCACGCTGTGCCCACCTTAGAGGTGTGAGACCACATACCGGCTAGAGGGGTTCCTAACTGCCGAGTGGCCTGGGCACACTCCTGGATGATCCAGGCCAGTCTGGAGAGAAGGGCTTAGGAAGGCTGAGGCTCCAGCCTCAACTCACCCTGTGCAGATCATGGCTGTGAAAATCCTGGGGTCATCCAGTGTGGAGGGCTCCAGGAAAACGCCTGGGTAGTGTAAATGGGTCTTCCCCCTCCCTCACTCTCCCACTTCCCACTCCTGGCTGCCACTCAGAACCACAGCAGCCTGCCATTGCTTATAGAAATGAAATGAATATCAGCTTGACAAAATGTTAAAGTAGGGGTGGTTTCCCATAATAAAGTGAATCAATATTACTTCCTACTCATCGGGCATATGTCACTGTTTCCCACAGATGTGATGGACTGGATGGTTTAACAACCACTTCACACTGCCCCGCCTCATCTCTCACTAGACTTTCCCTTTTTTCCAAACACCACAGGGATGCTAACTACTCATACTGCCAAGAGTATTTCATGTCTCCTCACCCTGTGTCCCTTTGCCCAGACAGTACTTTCTGCCTGGAATGCCCTTCTCTGACTTGTCAACCACTATTCTTCAGCTCAAGCACCTCCCTGTGCTCCAGTGCACAGGATACAAATGCCACTAAAACAACTGTCATATAGATTGTTTTGCAAGTTGAAGACGTCATTTCAAATTTCTTATAAATACTCCCTGGGAATGGACCAGACAATCTGCAGAATGTATTTGTTGTCTACCTGTATGTTTATTCCCATCTGGATGGGGTCGCTTGTATCCCAGGACTCACCGCAGGGCACGGCACATCATGAGTATACAGTGGAGTTGTCTGTGGAATAAATGGGTGCATGAATTAATCGATACATGGCTGGGTGCTGTGGAGCCCTGAAATGGCCTCCTCAGGGCTCTGCTGTCTTTGCTTCTCTATCTCCAGGGCTGGTGGAACAAGGTGGTGTTAAGATAGAGCCACTTCCCAAGGAAGTGAAGGTCTACCTCCTGACCACTTCCACGGCTCCATATTGCGGTGAGTGCAGGCAAATGAGCTGCTCAGCTCTGCCAGTGTGCTGTCCAGCTGAGTCCAGGGCTCCGTCTTGGGCTGTGTCCAGCCCAGCATGGTAGCTAAAGTGGGAGGTGAAGACCTGGGGCAAAAATGTAATGGGAAGGGAGAGGTGGGGGACAGCAGCTACTGGTCTTAGATAGAACCAAAACTTTTCAGAGGTAGCCCAAACCACTGCTCTATGGATGAAAACTTGGCGGCATCTTACCTTACTGTTGGTACACTGGTCCTCATTCCTCCCCACCCCACCATGGAAACCTGCCTTCCAGTGTAGGTTCCCTCTGGAGTGGTATTTGGGAGTACCTTTTGGATTTCTCCTACCTGCATGCATTTCCCCCTCCTTATTGCCCATCCTATGTGTCTCCCACTCTGGCAGCCCTCCTAGGTCGGGGTCCACGAGGAATACTGAACCTTCATATACATATTCCAGCTATTTACTATGGCTCCTAACCACTGCATTTCATTGAAGCTAAGATGCCAGCGATTGTGAGAGATGTTTAGTGTGAGAGAAATGGGCGTCTTAGAATCTATGACATACATTACAGGCCGAACCATCCTCCTTCCCTACACTATTTGCGTTTTAACTAGGTTGACTATACTTCCTGATTTTGTTATTCTGTTATCCTGGTTCATTGTGTGTTCAGAGTAGAAGTACGCTGGTTTGGAGGGGACATTATATGATCACCCTAATTCTAAATGATTTTCTGATCAGCTGGTGTCTGGTTGGTTGGTGGAGGGATCTTTGTGGCTATACCTTCCTGGAACTAGAGGGCCTGGTGAAGTGTGAGACAGAGCCCGAAGCTCAGGCTCTGTGGTCACCCAGACCTGGATTTGAATCTCGACTTCTCCATTTACCAGCTGTGTCATCAGGAGCAAGTTTTTTTAACCTTTCTGAACCTCTATATACTTATGTGGAAAATGGGAAAAATAACAGTACCTATTTCAAAGAATCAATTGTGAGGATAAAATAAAATACATAGTACACAGACAATCACCAGCACAGTGACTGGAACTCAGTAAGTAATAGCTCCCTTCCCTCTGTCAATGGGAGAATTTGGGAGATGAGGTGGGGGTGTTTCTAACTTCATGCCAGAGAGAATACGTGGCTACTTCTTAGGAATAAAGGGGGTTACAAGAGTCATCTGTGGGCTTTCCACATGTATCAGCTCATCTGAGAACCCAACCCCGAGCAGTGATGTGCCCAAGGCTACAATGGGCGGGTGAAGAGGTCAGCATTCAACTCCAGGCCTTCTGACTCCAAAACCTTTACCTTTTCCAGGTCTTCTGACTCCAAAACCTTTACCTTTTCCAGGTCGTCATCTGCCTCCATACTTGTGTCTCTGCCCCCTCTTCCAAGAACCCGCTCTTTTCAGCTGTATTTCTCAGTTAGGTCAGCCTGAGGGAGGACTTTGTCCGGGTCGGAGGCAGGGCTGCTGGAACCAGACACCGTGTTTCTACTTCCAGCTCCAGGGCAGCTTCGCGGCAGCTCCTCTCTGTCCGCACAGCCAGGGAGCCTGAGGAACACCTGGAAGTTAAAGGCATTTTTAGGTCCCTGCTAAGGGTAATTCACCAGGCCATACATTTTCTGACTGTTTCATTTTTGTTGTGAGACTCCCTCCCCATTCCCCCAGAAGTATGGCTGTGTCTGTTCAAAAACCTCAGCGGACCTGCCTCTTCTGAGCCTTCCATTCTGAGCATCAGAGCTGGACCCATCCTCTCCTGGGGGTGGGAGGTACAGGGCACCCACCGGGTAGCCCACCTGGCAGCTCCCGCTCTCACCCACTCCCAAGCCATCATGGCACTGAGCTCCCATCGCCCAGCTCTCTTGGCCTGCAGTCACCCTTGGCCTCTGCCAGGCAGGCACCAGAATGGACAGAGAATCTTCTCCAAAAAATCATTTTTCTCACAATATTACTTTTCTCTTGTAGAGCAATGTTTCACCCGAAATGTTTTCTCCCCATCACCTCATTTAATCCTCCTCATGTTCTGTGAGGTGATGTTGGGGGTTATTGATTATAGATGAAGGAACTGAGGCACAGAGAGGTTCAGTGACTTAGGCAAGGCGATACAACTAGTAAGCAGCAGGCCTGGCCTTGGACCCAGTTCCCCTGGCAAACCATCCAGGGCTCATGTGCTGTTTCCCATGTCATGTCCCCAAGCAGGTTGGATTTCACTACCAGCTCCCACCCACCGAACGTTAGCAGACCTGGCCCTCCTAAGGTTTTCAGGGTAATCAGAGAAGAGAGAAGCAGAACCTCAGGAAACTTTCTTAATCAGTGATACATGCTGATAAAGGAAGAAGCGATATAATATATCAAACTCAGCCCAGAGAATTAAATTCCTAAAGCTATGTAAGTTAGCCGTTTTTCCACATTGCAAATATCCACTCCAGTTCAGCCCTTGCCTGTCAACATAACAATCTACATCCATAATAAACAACTGAGAAAGAGAGACAGAAGGGTCGTGGCATCTGATGTTTCGCTCTGTGGAGCGGGGAGCACGTAGCGCTCTCTTGTCTTCTTGTGGGTTCTTGGCAGTGAGTCCTGTTACTAACCCCATGAGCCCCGATGGACCACATCACTCCTCCAACTTAGAGCTGACTCTCCTTAAATTCACTTAGTCCCTCCTCCCAATGTTCATCCATAAAACATGACAAACGAAAAAGTACAGGTAGGGCAGAGCTCTAGCTATGTCCCAACCACCAAAGGAGTCTGTGAAAATGTTCGGAGACCGAAGTCACTGCATGGTGCCACCAGATGGGCTTACCCCTTAGTGAGGAAAGGATGGGGTGCAGGGGAAGCTGTAACCCTTCTTAACCTCTCTTGCCAAAGGCGCAGCAGGTCTGGGGATATCACCGTGAACCAGGCTGCTCAGCCAGTCTGTGTCGACAATACCAGCTTTGAGAGCCTCAGTGTCTGTGCTGCCCAAGCAGGTGGAGATGCCACACAGGCACCCAGCCACCACAGGGAGGGCAGTAGTCATCTCCTGCACACATGGTGGTTCCCTGACACAGGGTGTATGCTAGGGGGGGGGAGGGGCATTGCTCTATTTTATGAGTTAATTGTTTAGTATAAGATAGACCCTTTTTGGTTCTTTCAAAATCACACCATCAGGATAATGTCACTCGTTGGTAACAAAGAGTGACACAGTGCCAAAGAGTGGCACATTCTAGGATTACAAGTAATAATTAAAACTATTATGTATTGAATGATTCCTAGGCACAGGCACTGTCTAAGGACTTTATATGCATTAACTCATTTAATTCTCATTCAGACCTGTGGGGTATGTAATTTATTATCCCAATTTACACTAGAGGAAGCTGAGAACCTGCGACAACAGGTAATCTGCTCCAGGTCACACAGCTGCTAAGAGCGAGAGCAAGATTTCCTAACTGCCCTGCTGCTCTCTGGGACATTTTGTGCATTGCACCCACTGACCTCTGGCCCAGTTATCTGCTCTGCTTTGGTTTCCTAGTGCATCACAGCCTTGTGGAGTTTTACTTGCTGAAGCTGAGAAACCAGGACACCTGCATCACGGTCACCTTCCTTAGCAGCAGTGTCACCTCCTCGGTCACGATCACCATGTACGTAAGTGTCCCACATGGCTGGCTTCTCTCCTTCCATTTACATACATGCACATATATGCCAGGACAGGCACTGTGTGATCACTGATGGGTGGGTGGAGCCAGCTGAGCTGGGGAGGGGGGTGAGGGTGGCACCTGCCACAGATGGACCCACAGACACAGGCTGGGCAACTGTTCCAGGTTCAGGATCAGTACTGGGTCCAAGTATAGTGTATTCAGACAATAGCAGACAAGCAGGCAGACAGCAGTAATGGAACGTCCCAACAGGTGGGGAGAGTTTGGGGATTGGGTCCCTGATAGGAAACAGCATCAGGAATCCAGGCAGGGGGCATTAGGGATGTCAGCAAGTAGGAAGGCCTCAGCCATTGGCCCAGGGAGGGCTGGCGAGAGCCTGGGAAGCACCTACTCCTGGGTGGAGGGATGGGAGGAGAGGGGAGCAGTACTAGATGGGTTTCTAGAACAGACTCTCAGGCAGAGGGTCAGTTAGCAAATGAGTGCAAGGTGAGGGCCAGCAGGGTTGATGCTGAGTGGTGCCAATCCCTGGGACTGGGGCTGATTTCCTTTCTTTGTTGGGTCACACTTGGGCCTCGCAGCTGGTGAGACCAGGCTTGAGGTAAGCAGGCAGAGAGCCTCAACTGCAGGGAGCCGCAAGCCTGGCAGGGGACAGGAACTCAGCAGCAGTGGTTCATGTTTCTTTAAAAAGTCATTGGGGGCTTCCCTGGTGGCGCAGTGGTTGAGAGTCCACCTGCCGATGCAGGGGGCGCGGGTTCGTGCCCCAGTCCGGGAAGATTCCACATGCCGCGGAGCAGCTGGGCCGGTGAGCCATGGCCGCTGAGCCTACGCGTCCGGAGCCTGTGCTCCGCAACGGGAGAGGCCACAGCAGTAAGAGGCCCACGTACTGCAAAAAAAAAAAAAAAAAAAGTCATTGGTTAGTTACTCACAAGCCAGCAGGAGACAGACTAATCAGATAAATCACTGTCTCAGTCAGGGCTCAGCCTGGAAACGGGAGCCCAAGCCAGGCAGTCCAATAGAAGGAAATTAACACAAAGAGCTAATTACAAAAGTGTGGGGAGAACTGAAAACCCAAAAGGATGGGGAGGCAATGCAGAGATCAGCAAAAGGAGTCACTCCACCCCAGAGCTCGAGGGACAAAGCCAGGTGGTGTTGGTAGAACAAGGAATGGGATGGGGGGTGCAGGGTGGGAATGATTGGCAGGAGTGGGAAGCACGGAGGAAATGCAGCTCCTCCAAATCACTGCCTGAAGCAGCGTCCCGCCTGTGCCGGGGAGCCTGAGAAGTGTGGTTTGCAGGGGGATGGATGGAGCACAAACAGGGACGTGACCAGTGCCCATACACAGAAATGCACAATAGTCAGCAGTGGCAGGGGCTACGAGAACAAATAAGATAGAGCCTGACCAAGTGTGAAGAAACAATGTTTGAGTTGAGATCTGAAGGATTTGGAGGATCCTTCCCCCCAGACCAGGGGTTAGTGAGATATGACATGGGGAGCAGACAGCAGTGGGACCAGGCATGGGGAGAGGAGGCTGGAGGGGCAAGTCAGGGTCAGACCATGCCACGCCTGGAAGGACAGGGTAGGGATTTTGGGTTTTATCCTGAGAGCAGTTTGGAGAGCTGCTGGGAATTTTAAACAGGAGAGTGATGGGATCAGATTTGGGTTTGGAAACATTTCTCAGGCTACAGTGATGGATATTAACTGTGCTGTCAGGGAAAGACAAGTTTCTGCTGGGAGGAGCTCACGTCTGGGCTCCCAGACACTCTCCCACCAGGCAGTGTTCCAACTCACCCAGGCCGCACAGCACAGGACAGCAGGCAGTCAGGACACCCACACAGATCTTGGGGTGCCCACGTGAGCCTTGCAGATTACAGCTGAGTAATTGTCATTAGATCAGTTCAAGGTCACGTTACTTCTGCAAGGGTGTTTTTATCACCTTTCCAGCCCACTGGTAGATGAGCCGACACTGGCAGGAATCATGACAATGACACACAACTCTGGCTGCTTGTTAGAACCACCTGGAGAGCTTTAAAGAATACTGACAGCAAGCCCCACTCCAGACCAGTAGCAGTAGAATCTCCAGGTATGACTTCAACCACTACACCGAAGCTCCCTGAGTGATCGGAATGGACATCCACAGATTCCTTCTTTTTTCTCCCCAAAGAGATTTGCATTACTGTTTTGAAGAAGGCTATCAGAACATGATTATCTTCAATTCCTTGGTTCTTGTTTCCTCTTGCAGAACAGAAATTTAAAAGAAGGGAGGGGGTTTATGTGTGGTCTTTCCCCTACTTTCTATAACTTTGTGAAACCCCAAGGTTTCCTTCCAATTAGAAAATTTACCCAGGCCAAGTCCCCAGGCCACTCACTCACAGTGTCCTTTGTAGCCCTTCTAGTTTGCAAGCTCTCCATCCAAGCAGACTCTTAAAGTGAACAATCTTCTTATTTTTTCCTCTGAAATACTTCAAAACACTTTTGAAATCTAAAAAAAAAAAAGAAAGAGAGAGAGAGAAAGGAAGAAAATGGAACAGCTTTTAAACAAAGTTTTACTGAATCTTCCTCAAAAGGACAAAACAAACTATATGACTAATCCTGGGTTAGAAAGTACACAAAGAAGACATTTCATCAGTATGAAGAGGCCAGAAAGGAAAGGGAAACCATGCTCACTTTAGACAACACCCAGTGCCACCGCAGAGGGGAAAGCAGCGCCTTCCGGGCTCTCCCTCTTTCTCACAGTCCCTCTTTCTGAGCCCAGAGGGGACTGGAACAGGCCAGAGCAGGGCACAGGGGGGCGGGGGATGGGGGGGTGGCTGGGGCTTAGACCTAGGGCTGTGTGACTCCAAAGCCACAGCTGGGAGGAGACCACACCTGGACTCCACCGCAGCTCTGTCTGGCTTCGAGGCCTGTTGTTTGTTTGTTCATTTGTTTCCATCTACACTTTCATACTCAGTCTAAAATAGAGTAGTCCTCACACAAACTTCTTGGAACTGAACATCCTGGAAGAGGCCTCTACTTCCAGGTAGATGGACCTGAGACTGAAGATATTCACTCATCAGAATTCAGATCTTCACTAACCAACTAGGACCGTTTTCCAGATGTGAAAATCCAAGGGCTACTATTTCGCTGCAGGGTCCACTTAGTCACTTTCAAAAAGCAACACCTATTTTCTGCATCACATTCAAAGCTGTGAGGGTGTGGGCCGAGGGGCTGGTGAGGGTGATGCAGAGGACCGTGGAGCCCACCTTCCAGGAACTAACCGACCGGGCTACCCGCAGAGCCCCTAGGAGCCAAGGGGAGGCAAAGGCCAAACGTGTGCGGCAGTAAGTTACTTTGCCTTTCCCTTACAGACCTAGACAGCAACGCCACGGGAAAGGAATCATAGCTCACCCCAGCCCTCAGTGCCAGATAAACCAGGTGAAACTCAAGTTTCAGCCTTCCAACCGAGTTTGGAAAAAAGACCGGACTATCGTTATCGGGATGTTCTGCACTGCTCCTTTGCCCGTCCATGACAAGTAAGCCCCGTATCTACCCCGCCCCAGACACACCCACAAGGATCAATCCTGACCTTAGATGTGACACTTGTTGAGGTGCAGTCTCATCACAGGTATGAGCTTCCTTGATGTGGAGGTGACAGAAGACCCAGGGTTTTCCTGAACCTCCTGCAGGGCCATCTTGGGTTGGGATGCTAAGAAGACAAAGAGGTTGGACTTTAATTCCCCATCCCCACTTTAATATAAGAAACTCCATTTTATCTGAAATATATATATTAAATATGTATAGATAATTATAACATACAATATATATAAAATATATATTTATATATATACATATATGTTTTATTACCTGCTATACTTAGTTTCTCTGTAAGATTTTATTGGAACAAACATTGCTCATTGCATATTTCCTCTTCTTTAGCCTCCACTGGTCACAGTCATGGGTGTGGATCCAGAATCCCTGTCCCCTTTACTCCACCTCTAGTAGGCATTTAGAGTATTAGTCTTACCACACCTGGCCCTCAGAGGACAGGAGTGGGCTCCTGGTAATCCAAGAGTAATCATCCCATAGACGATTGTAGAATTCTTTCACCTGAGATCACGGAAACACAGGCGCACGCAACTCTGAGCCCTCTCTCCCGACCAATCAGGAACCTGCCCTGAGGACACACCCTCTTGTTGCTCTTCTCTTGCAGTAGAAGGACCGTCTGCTTACCTGAGCCAGTGAACTTACAAGCAAGTGAGACTGTTTCTCATGACCTGAAAATAACCTGTATATAGTTATATAAGGGCAGGATACATCTCCCTGGATTGGGGGCGGTGGTTCAACTTATTCTAAGCCATTACTACTAAGAAAGAACACAGAAGTCTTGGTTAGTTTCCCCATAATTAGCTACCTTAGAGAGGAGAGAGAGCTCATTTTACAGAGCTTTATCTCCGTTGTGAATTTAAAGAAGCTTACAGAGACACCATTTCAACTTTCCTATTCATACTTAACTGCAATTGCCCCATATCCTTGGACATCTGTACCTAGGATTCAACAGAAACATATACAAGAAAAAGGCTGTGTTTTTTTTTTCAAATAAAACTCCATGGAATATCTGAATCGTTTGTTTTATTGGTACGGAATTCTGTTATGTACAGAAAAGGTGATTTACAGTCTGTGGGATTGGAGAAAACAGTAGATGCTGAATTCTCTATATTAAAATAGCAATTGTGGGACTTTCCTGGTGGACCAGGGGTTAAGAATCTGCCTTCCAATTCAGGGGACGCGGGTTCGATCCCTCATTAGGGAACTAAGATCCCACATGCCACAGGGCAACTAAGCCCCGCGCGCCGCAACTAAGAGCCAAGGTAGCCAAATAAATAAATAAATGTTTTTTAAAAAGTAGCAATTGGAAAGAAGTCCTTGGTATAAGAGAGAGGATGGAGGGTGGGGAGGAAGATGGTACTACTCACCATCCCTTACCATTGTCTTCTCTGGGTAACTGGAAGGTTTGGGGGATCAGAGAGATCTTTCGGGAATATAGGTGGATTTTTTTTTGGGTCAGTGTTTCCCAAACTTTAATCTTTATAAATAACCTTGTATCAAGCCACAGTCCAACAAGAAACAGATGGTGTGCCCAAATTGTGTCATTTGAGAATTTAATAAAAGAACTATTTATAAAGGTGTTCGTAGGAAGTGAGGAAACCACAAGGGACGGTGCAGTTCCATGGGACTGGGGCCAGTGGGAGCTACTACTGTCTTATGTCTGAAGAGGCCAGAGGAAGGAGCACCAGGGTCTGGAGACAGAAAGGTCTGTGGGACCTTTGGTCGAGGAACAGTCATCGGACAGCAATCCTGCAGGGAGAGAACCAGGGGAAAAGATTCTCCACCCTCACTCTTCTTTCCTCCCCCATTCCGCTGGTGCTCCCACTGAGTGATTGCAACTAGAAGCCAGAAGACAAGAGGCACGTTGATGTGGCCCTGGGGTATAGAGCAGGGCAGAGAAGGGTGAGAATGGCTGCGATGGCCGTGGGAACAGACAGAGAGACATGACACATACCTTCACTGGTTTCTCCATAGCTAGGTATTCCTGGATTCCGCTATACTTAATGATTTTGTTTAACTCTTAAAAACCATTTTAACCATTTTTAAGTGTATAATTCAGCAGTATTCACTACATTCGCATTGTTGTGCAGCCATTACCACTATCCGTCTCCAGAACTTTTTCATCATCCCGAACTGAAACTCTGTCCCCATTAAACAATAACTCCCACCGCCCCTCCCCCCAGCCCCTGGTGACCACCATCCTAATTTCTGTCTCTATGAATTCTACTCTTCTAGAGCACCTGATACAACCATACAGTATTTACTTTCGTATCTGGCTTGTTTTACTTAACATAATGTTTTCAAGGTTCATCCATGTTGCAGCATGTGTCAGAATTCCCTTCCATTTTAAAGGTGAATAATGTTCCATTGTGTGTATAAACCACATTTTGCTTATTGATTCATCCATCAGTGGACACTTGGATTGCTTCCACCTTTTGGCTATCGTGAATAATGCTGCTATGAACATGGGGATACATACAATGCTTGAGACTTTTTTAAAAAACCTAAGTAAACGGGCTTTGAAAGGAAACTGCTGACTCGCCGATTCACTCTCCACAGTAAAGGCTGGGTGAATGATGCGAGCAACAGGCTGCAACTGCTCCATCTGGTCCAAGTCACCTAGGTCACCAGGAGAGAGAGGGAGCCTTTGTCCGAAGGACAGGTGATGCATTGTGAATGCTCACAGACACACCTTGTTTTCTGCACCGTCCATCCCAGTCAGTAGGAAAACAACATGTTTGGAGAAATGTCTTCAATATGCAGGATTGGAGTTCTTTCTTTTTTTCCAAAACCCAAACCCCTCTTTTTTTTTTTTTTTTTTTTTTTTTTTGGCGGTATGCGGGCCTCTCACTGCTGTGGCCTCTCCCGTTGCGGAGCACAGGCTCCGGATGCGCAGGCTCAGCGGCCATGGCTCACGGGCCCAGCCGCTCCGCGGCATGTGGGATCTTCCCAGACCGGGCCACGAACCCGTGTCCCCTGCATCAGCAAGCGGACTCTCAACCACTGCGCCACCAGGGAAGTCCCCCCCTTTTGTTTTATCCCTCCCTTTACTCCACCCAGGTTCCCAGCAAGAACCTCCCTAGAGACAGACCTACCCTGGGCTGTATGAGGCTGTACTTCCTGTTCTCTTACTTTAAGTCACTGTTAGACTCCCTCACATTTTATGTTGCTCCCCATCAGAAACTTCAGATCATTACCTTAAATGGAAAACCAGTGTTCCTTATCATAAATTAATCCTAAAAATAAATACAATGAGAGCATAACAATGTTTAAAATTCCAGCTAGATACCATGGCTTGCTGCAAGCTCTATGCCCCAGGCCTGCTTTTTCCTTATTAAAAAGAAAAGATTAACAAGTATAAGGGAGATGTCAAAAACTTATCAACACCAAACAGAGACTTTCTTCTATATATGTAATCAGTGGACTGAAAGAAATTTAGAGCCGGACTAGCAATTTCACCGAGATTTGATGTTATTTAATGCTGGGTCTATCTGCTACCTTAAACTGTCTCGCCCACACTCTAGAAAACCTGGCTTTACGTAGGTGGAATGTGTGTGGGGTTAGGAAAAAGGGAGCGGTAACAGAACTTGCTTGATGGCAGGGCAAAGGCAGAGCATGGGTTTTCCCTCCACACCCTTGTCGCTCCCAACCCCTGCCGAGAAGTTTCTTGAACAGAGACTACCACGCGAGTAATTCAAGAGTCAACCCCTGCCCTTACATGGCACTGCACACGTGAATTCTAGAGGCTTCCTCTCTCTGGTCACTCTGCTCTGAGTTTGTTCAGTTTGTACTGCAGTCCCAGGACTGGGCTCCATATACCAGGCCTTCTCCCCCAGTGTACACCAGAGGCACACGTTCATTTGTTCTTTGTTGTATTCCTCCATTGCTTCACCCAAGAGCTGCTTTAGGGTTACCCACAATACTTCAGCTTTTAAAGGTCTGTATTCTTATTGATCCAGCTTGCTTGCTTTCTTGTGGAGTTGACTTTTTGAACCTGAATGAACTTTTCATGTAACCCAGTTCCTTTACATATTATTATTGTAGTTTCTCCAACCTGTCGGGAATTTTTCACATCCTAATCTTATCCTTAAGAATACTTAGCTCTCCCTCCAAGCTTTATGTCATTTATATCTATATCTATATGCAGATATATGACATTTTTTGTAGAGTCCTTTTTCATAACTATAGCTAATAACTTGAAAGGAGAAGGTCAAGGGTAGACACCTACCTCTAGAAGCATCTTTAAGATCAGTCAATACTCTGAACCTTCACGTATATTTTTAACTCATGTTTATCTTGGCTACTTACATATTATGAGAAAAGTTCCAATTCTTTATATTTACAACAATCCCCTGATTAAAATATGATTAATTTAACTTTAGCATAACTTAATTCCCAGAAATGCAGGCTCCTAATAATTGCTACTTTATTTCCTAAATACATGCAAGCAAACTTTTTAGTGATTTGTTCCTGGACTTTGCTGGGAATCAACATCAAACCTCCTGATCTCTAATTTTAAGAGTCTCTGCTTTCTGATTCCTGGAGCAAATATATTCATCCACCGTCTTCTACGTCTTCTCTTTGGGATTATCTAGTGATGACTGAATAAAGACCCCAGTTACCCCACAAGGTCTTCCTAAAACAACATTATAATTTAGGGTCTGAGTGCCAGGATTGATTTAAAGCAGTTGAGTGATTTCAATCTTGGTCTTCATGTTAATTTCCCTCCAAAATCCACCCCACCTTACTATATATATATATAATTTTAATTACAAAAGCAATACATGTGCATTTTAACAAGTCAGACTGCAGACACATAGTTTCCGTGGCCCCGAGGTAATAAATGTTAATAGCTAGGTGTATGTCCTACACATCTCTCCACATTAATACAAATATATACACACATGATTGTTGTTGTTTTTTGTTTTGTTTTTTTCTAAACAAAAATGAAATCATAGCACACACATCATTCTGCAATTTTCCTTTATTATTCACAATATATCATGAATATTCCTCCTGGGCTATACATAGACTTAATTTATTCCCTGGATGTATACATTCCACAGCATGGGCATGTCATAATTTAGCCAACCGTTTTCTTGGTGATGAATATTAAGGTTGTTTCTAGTTTTCTTCAACTACAAATGATGCTGCAATAAGTACTTTTGTACATCTATTCTCATACTGGTGCCTTCATTTCTATATGATAGATTTCTTTGGTGAGAATAGCTAGGTCAACAGATATATCAAAAGGTTAGCAGTGCTGGGTCACTTTCCAAAAATGTCATAAGAATTCACATACACTCTGACAGTGGTTGAAAGAAATAGTTTCCTTGCGATTACTTATTCAAATAATTGCCTTCCTGAGATAAGTAGCCCAAATCACCAAATTTCTCCTGTGGAGTTACTATGTGCTGTTCAACACTTCCCAAGTTGGCCGACCAGTTACGTATCTGTGAAACTGGAATGATGGGCTCTCCTACAGAAGTATAGGGGCCTGAGATTTTACTACCTTTTTGAAATGACATTCATTCATTCAGAGTAGTCTTCAGAGCAGTGAAACTCCCTATGGGTGAACTATGATGAACTTTTTAAAATAAAGCCTTTTTTTTTATGATTGTAAAATTCAACTAATTCAAAAATTTTCAGTCAATACAGAATGCTATGTCAGAGAAAGTGAAAAGCTAAAACTTCCTGAGCATTTAGTATGTGCCAGGTAGCATTCTAATCTCTTTATAGAAATTATCTTATGTAATCTTCCCAACAGTTCTGTGTATTACTTCATTTTACATATAAGAAAACTGAGGGACAGGAAAATTAAACAACTTCCCCATGGTTAGACAACTAGCAATGAGTAAAATCAGGATTCACACCAAGCCATCTGACTCCATCATCTGGGCTCTAACTGCCACATTATAGTTAGACAAGTAAACTTGCTCAGGTTGGTTTCTTGTATTTAGATGTCTTAACCAACATATCTAAAGAGAGATCTCCTCAGTCTGGCCCCACT